GCAGCAGCTGACTTGGGGACGCCTGGGGTTCTTAAGTTGAATCTGTATGTAAGTCGGAACTGGCGTCCAGATTCAGCCTGTTGAAACTGATCAGAGACTGATTCCAGGAAGCCCGGGGCATAGCAACTCTGCCTCGGGCTTCCTGTAGTCAGCTGCTGGTCAGTTTCAGCAGCGGCTGAATCTGGACGCCAGTTCTGACTTACGTACAGATTCAACTTAAGAACAAACCTACAGTCCCTATCTTGTACATAACCCGGGGACTGCCTGTATTTCCACTGCAGAGCCCTAGTGGGGGATGGCTCCCAGAGGCTTCTTCCCTTATCGACTAATTGTGCAGTCGATAGAAATTCTATAGACTACATTATTAGTTGATTACTCGCTTTCTATCACCCCTAGACCACAAGGATATAAGCTTTCATGCTTTAAAAAGGAAGGAGCTTCTCATGATAAGCAATATAGTTAATCTCAAAGACAGGACTTGGTATCATGAAAAGTAATTCTTGTAACTATAAAAACCTAATTAAAATGTGGTTCTAGTCAGAAATAGTACATCCATGTTCTGGCTTAGTGTTCTGAAACTATACACATTTTTCCAGTTATGTTATAATGCCACATAGCTAAAGTTAGAGAATCCTCACAGGGCAGTATAGCTATCATATGGGATGTGACAGTGTATATGTCTAAACAGTTAACTGATGAGTAGGGCTCACCCAAATCCTTGCAGTTAAATGAAGTCCCCCACCCCGTCTCTGTATCAGCGGCAGTGCAGAGAGAAGGGGGGGCGCAGGAAGGAGCTAGTGCTCACGAAGAACTAGCCTTTAAGTTACCTCCCCAACACCACTGGCTCCCACCTGCCTCCCCCTGAGCTGCTACCTCTGTATCAGGGCTGGAAGGGCCTGGGGGCAGCCACAGTGGAGCTGTGAGTCCCACTGACAGGATGGCAGGCAGCCACAACAGTACTGGTGGGTCCAGGAGCTCAGTTAGGGAACCAACATGACCTCCCCATGCCCAGCAAAATCCCTCCTTCGGGACCACTCAGGTCTCAAGGGAGCTGGATCAGGGAGGTCCAACCTGTAGGCTCTGGCAGTTAAATGAACTGCCTTACAGCAATGTAGAACTGGGGTTGGATAGACAGAAGCGTATACACTTTTTACATGTGGCATGAAATATGGTAAGAACATAGGGAAAAAGAAAAGTACACAAAAAGGCTTTCATTGGGGAACCTGTGCTGGCACTCCAGATCCCGCACCTCCCCCCCCCCCCCCCCCCCCCATCGACTAGTCTGGGCCCCCTTCGGCTCTGGTGTATAAGGGAATGTGGGAAGTGTCTTTCTCCTTTTCAGTTGGGGGCCATGTCAGTGAGGTATTTTTTGTTTTTTGCTTCTCACTTGTGTGTGGCCCCCAACTGATTTTTCTGCGGGTTAGCGGCCCCTGAACCAAAAAAGGTTCCCCACTCGCATACACGGAGTGAAGGAAAAAACATACATAAGTGGAAGTGATACAACAAAAACAAGTAAAAGGAGTCAGCAGAAAATTGAAACACACTAAATGTGAGGCATTTTCATATATTTTTCCTCGCGGTGGCATAACTCCCAGATTTGCTTTCTTTCTTAGGCAGTCTTTTATTTTCCACAGTCTAACCTTGCAAAAATTAGGGTGGGGATTTCAAAAATCCCAATTTTGATGGATATCAGTGTTGCTCACAAGTTTTGGAGAAGACTGGTTGGGATCCAAACTTTCAGGGCAATTGTTCTTCAATTAAGTAACTTGGCTTCCTTTGTTATATTTTTATAAGGAAACTTTCCTCTCTGTAACATCCATATATTTAAGGTTAAATACAAATTTTGGTTATGTTTGCGGTGATATTTTTACAACACATCCACAGTGTCCTAGCTCTAGGAAGCAAGAACATATGAATAATCCAATAGTGCTGTTACTTCCTGGTTTATAACTACTTTTAAAATAAATGTAAAATAGGAGTTTGTCAGAAGCTTCCTTTCTGCCACCCCCACACTTGCCTTTTCCTCAGTACGCAGCTAAAAGAGGAAACCATCTTGTATCTAAAGATTTTATTTTTATTAGCAGTTTTTATGCAGGTTCAAAATTCTCTGAGTTTTCAGCTGGGTGGCATTGCAGCACAGTTCATTTTCAGGAATTACAAAATTTGTCATGGACAACACTGTGTTTACATCACACACCAACTGACAGATCCCTTTGTACACATGAAGTAAACAAAGCGGCGGGGGCCCACCAGCAGCTTACTCGAGCGACCCTTTAACCCAAGTCTGAAAAATGCTGTGATAAGAGATCTATAAAATCATGACTGGTGTGAAAAAATTTAATGAAAAAGAGTTATTTACTTCTTCCCATAGCACAAGAACAAGGGGTCACCAACTGAAAGTATTTCTTGATAGGCATAGTCGAGCGGTGGAACTCCTAGCTAGAGGATGTTGTGAAAGTCAAGACTATAACAGGGTTAAAAAATGAGCCAGATAAATTCATGGAGGATAGGTCCATCAGTAGCTATTAGCCAGGATGGGCTTGAATGGTATCCTTAGTCTCTGTCAGAAGCTAGGAATGGGTGACATGGGAGGGATCACTTGATTACCTGGTCTGTTCATTCCCTCTGAGGCACCTGACATTGGCCACTGTCAAAAAACAGGATAGTGGGCTAGATGGTCCTTTGCTTTGACTCAGTACAGCCATTCTTATGTGGCTAGAGTTTACATCTAGACTACAAAGCTCTGTTTGTTAACACCAAGAGACAATTTATCAATAGGCATTTAATTACTAGAAATGTGAGATGCATAATTGTTGGTGCCATGCTGAAAAGATCGAGTCTCAAAAACAAAATCACAGTAAGCTGACATTTAAAGCTATCATCCAAGGACATGTAGGTAGTAAAAACCATCCAACTCACCCTGTCAAAATCATGAACAATTGCTGCTGGATCACTATCTGAGAACTTCGGAACTGGAACATCAATGATTGCTATGTTATCATCTTCCCGAATATCAGCTTCTTCTGCAATGGGCAGGAAGTATGGTTCCACAGCATGATCCTGATTTTCATTTTCAAAGTAACACATTTCCCCACGGTATACCTTATGCTAAAAATAAAAAAGGGCAGCTCTGTCATTTTTGGTATTCCACTTAACTTCTGATTTAGTGTTAGATTAAAATTTAAAAGTGTAGTGTAGTTTTTTTTCTATCCCCAGCTTCAAGTGTCAAGGCCTGTGATTAATTTCAGCTATTAAACCTGAATTTTTAGCAATACCCTGATAGAAATCATGTAACAAACCTATTGTTTAGGATTATTTAATATTCTGATATTTGGGTTGCAAAAATATAAAATTTAACAAAACCAAACATTTATTCTGAACACATACACACAAAAATCACATTACCCTAGGCATGAAGTACTTGTAGATGCAAGCTCCACCAACCACAACCCCTGCTAAAATGAATGCAAGTCCCAGCAGGGTCAATAAACACCTTCCAGATGAATTTTCATTTCCGTGTGTTGCAATTTCTGGATCCTTTAAAGAAAAAAAAAAAAAAAAAAAAGAGATTTGACACAATTTAGTTGCCTTGAATTTATAATCATCCTTGTGCTGTTACCTGGTTAAATGCTTAAGCTTGACTTGTAATCCAGATAGGACATCACATTCTCTCTTCTCAGATACAGACAGCTTCATTTACTCAAGTTACCCTGGCACCGTACCAGGAAAACAGAAGACCAACTTTTTAAAAAGGAAGTGCAATGAATATGTTTTTAGCGTAAAATATAAACTAACAGCAGAAATTTCAAAAAGCCTTTGGAATTGTGCCCATTCTTGGCCAGAACAGGGCAAAAATGTCACATCTTCTGAAATTAAAACTGGCTCATTTCAGAGTATTCAAAATAATTGTTCACAGTAGACTACAACTATAGTGGGACAAAACATTTTCTCTAACCTAAAGAGTAGCCATTTTCTGACTCAATTTCAAAATATGCAAAAATGAATTGGTGTTTTATGACCAAGAGAGATTTCATGAGCTTGAGGCCACCTCTCAATAGCCTATTTATCATCACATGAATAACTAACTAGTGTTCCCCATTCATGTGCAGAATAAATGTGATGTGCACCAAAGCATATGTGCATGGGCACCACAAGTAGAAACATCTGTTATAAGCGATGGGCTCTATAGACTCTCTGCTAATCAGCTGGGCAGCATCGGAATCTCTCCTGGGTGTCCACCCAAGCGCTCAGCTAATAGAGAACACTATAACTAACTAGCCTTCCTCAGATATCTTAAAAACCACCAGCAAGTTTCAAAAGCTTTTAAAACAGCAGACAAGATCTTTATTTCTTCAGTCAAAGCTTTTTAAAAGCTTGTTTAATACAATGGCCTCCTTTCAAAAGTTATTCCTGACAGGAGAGAGTGCACCAAAACAAAACCACCATATGCTATATAAATAACCCAGCATCATCTTTTTACCCCCAGTCCCACTCCAGTTTTTGCAGTTTCTCAATAACCTTTTCCAATTCATTAAGTGATCTTCTCCCTCTGTTGTTGTGTAAGAAGTCCATACTACTGGTAAGTGGATTACATATAGTGTTTTTAATTCAGAGAAGTAAAGTAACAGTCGGTGTAAGAAATGGAAGCAAAAACCTCAAGAAGTGGTATCTTAACCTTACTGTGTACCCCTTATCTATGTTTGCTAACTGCAAGCACACCCAACAGCATATGCAAAACATCAAACAACAACAACTATAGGTTGGATTTCTCATAGCAAGTTAGCACAGGAAGAGATTACTAAAATTGCAGATTCTTTGGGATAGGGACCATCTTTTCTTTGTGCCTAGCGCCTAGTGCAGTGGTATCCCAAAGCATTATAGGAACACAAATAAGCACATGAAAAGGGCCTTTTGTAAGAATACCACTGATTTCCTTTTTAAAAAGGGATATCCATGTTTTTGCTGAGTACAAACTTAAAATTTAGTTCCTTCAGTATGTGAACTTTCACAGAATCAGCTAAACAATGTCAAATACCTATTTATCAGATATTCTGCTTGCATACTACTGGTTTAACAAGAATTGCCTCTGCAAAACAGCTGTTAGTAGAAGGTTGAAAAATATCATTTTAAAATTATTCCATATTATGTGTGGTGTGAATTCTTTCACCATGCAGCCATTTAGACTATGGCACATCTTTCAAAGAAAATGTACATGTATTGAGAACAGATTTATTTTGCCCCCAGCTTTTTTCATCATGATACTGTACCACGTTATATACCATTAAACAGTTCCCCATCATTTCATATTACTGTATTTAAATCAAAGATTGGCATGCTACTCAATACTGCAGTTCTAATTATGATGAAGATACCCTAAGCAGTCTAGATGGGTCCTTATTTCAATTTATAATAATTGGGGTGGGCGAAGGAATAGCTATATTGGTTTGTATTGACTATAAACAAGTCATGAGACTTTTTTTGCGTATTTATCTTAGAATAAGATAAACTGATTGTGTGTGTGAATTCTGATGTGTGAGTTCAAATGTATCCTGTACAAGTGTTTTCTGGTATTCTCTTAATTTTCTTATTTCAGCAAACATTTGTACCAACACATTTGTTTGCTTTCCACTATTCTAGCAAATGCAAAAAGGAAGTGAACATAGCCAAAATGCATTCACTTTTATTTAAGTGGATTTGCATGGTATTCATGTCTATGAATATCTGCTACCTTATACTCTGGAGTTAGAGTGAAACTTTTTTTTTTTGGTAATTTGGTTTGATAGAGTATTTTGAAAGGCATAATGAGTCAACATAAAGTAGCTTACTTCACAAGCTGCTCATCTAATTTTAATGAGAAAGGAAAAAAAATGTAAAGGGCATAACACATACAAATATGTACATTTTTTAAAAAATGTAGAACTTAAAGAAAATTATTTAAAATATACATCCACCATGTTATTTTTATGGCCAAATATAAGAGAATTAATTGAACATACAGGCTACATCTACACTGGTGGGTCCTTGTGCAAGAACACAAACACACTGTCATGTGCTTTTGCGCAAGAGCATCCATGGCAGTGTGGACACTCTCTTGTGCAAGAAAGCTCCGATGGCCATTTTAGTCATTGGGCTTTCTTGCGCAAGAAACCCCTGCCGCGCGTCTACACTGCTTACACTTGTTAGAAAAAAGCGTAGCTCTTGTGCAAGAAGCCCTCTCTTCCCATGCTGTACTGTAAATCTTCTTCTGCAAGAATGGGCAGGCAGTGTGGATGCTCTGCAGAAGAACTGCTGTTCTTGTGCAAGAACCTGCCAGTGTAGACATAGCCACAGTGTATCTGATATGGTATCATCTCAAACCAACATGCATTTTTTCTGCCAGGTATGCAAAAGCCCAAGCTAGATGAAAACTCAGCCTCTGACTTGTTGTGTGTCTGTATAAATTAGCAAGTGCTAAATTATTCTTCTAGAACAGAAGTAGCCAACCCACAGCTCCTGAAGAAAAAAAATTGTGGCTCCTGACGGAACCCGGAACCGCTCAGTTCAGCTGCTCTCACAGCTGGGCCCGTGAGCCACATGCACGCTCACAGTCCGTGCCATTCCGCTCATGGCCCCCAGCACACTGTGTTATATCCTGCAAGAGCAGGCCGGGTCGCGCACAGTATCCCAGCCTGTACGTGCTAGCAGTTGAGCGCAGGCAGCAGTCCGGGACCTGGGCATAAGGTTAGTGGGGGAGGGGAATTGGGTTAGAGCGGGGGGAAGGAGGAGATGCCTGGCTCTGGAGAAGAGGAGGGGAGAGGAGGGGGATCGGGTGGGGGCTGCGTATGACATCCTGGATGCGCACGTCCCCACCAGCACAGTTGGGCCACGAGTGAGGCTTGCGGGAGGAGTTGTTTTTTTGCATTTCATTTGTGTAGCCCCAACTGACTTTTCTGTAAGTCAGTGACCCCTGACTCAAAACAGGTTCTCTGCCCCCCTCAAATAAAGACTATGCTTTAACATTTTGTGTTTGACATAATATTTTATTTAGAAATGAAGCCTAGCCAACTAGCCCCCTATTGGGGCCAAGCCCACATCTGGCCAGAGCATCATAAGACTCCTGCACCCCCCCAGACTCCAAACCCGAGCCTATCTTGCATTAGTACCCCCTGTTCTGAGCCTCTCACATCCCCAAACTCCTGCACCCTCACATCCCATCTTCTGCCACAACACTTCATCAACACACTGCAAATCTGTGTCCTGAGCCCACATACTCCCAGCCTCCCTACCCTGAGCCTCTCGTGCACCCCAGCCCAAACTCCTGCACCCTCACAGCCACAAGCCTGTGGCTTGCTCAGCACCCCAACCTCCCCTTGACCCCAACACTCTCCAGCCTGAAGCCCCCTCCCTGAGCCAGCATCCTCTTCTCTACTTCCTCCTACACCCAAATTCCCTCCCAGAGCTTGCACCTCTCACTCCTTCCCAGTGCTTTTTTTGGGATGGTATGCCCGGGGATGGTGTACCAGCACCTATTTTACCTATTTTTTCCTGGCAGTGTGTGGGGTTTGTTTGTTTTTTTGGGAGGGGATTTGCTCCAACTCCCCCTCTCTTTGTCTCCAACAGGTTGATCACCTCTGTTCTAGAACTACCAGTTTAGTTATCCCAAAAGTAGACTACAACTGACTAATGCAAGAGAATGGTGGAAAATAGTGACTATTTTTTCTTTACAGTACACATTTAAGAAAATAGTCTTACCATATTTTTAAATGGCTGTAGTAGAATAAGATATATAACTATCTCATGAAGGAGAGGGAAATCCACAGAATACTTTCCTGATTTTTTTTTTTTTACTTTATGGAAAGATCTTTATGGAAGGGATTCTTAATTTTAGTCAGATGTTCCCTAACACTAGACCAGGGGTGGGGAACCTAAGGTCCAGGGGCTGGATAAGACCCCCTGGGCTCATGCTCCTCACCCCCAGCACTGGGCAGCCCAAGCTGGCACTCCACACACGCATCTGGAGCACACAAAATCTGCTAGCCTGTGCCCTCTTCGGCTTTGGTGCGTGAGGAGTGTCTAGCTCCTTCTCAGTCGAGGCCACTTCAGTGGGCTATTTTGCTTCTCACTCACGTAGGGCCCCGGATTGATTTTTCTGTTGTCACAGACCTCCGACCCAGATAAGGTCCCCCACCCCTGCCCTACACGGTTTACAACAATTCTATCTTCCTTGGTAATAACACCAATGGCAGTGGCATGCTCAGACATAACCAACATTGGATGACAAAAGGGCCTGGACCCGCAAGGTGGTTTGGGTAAAATATACCCAAACTGCTTGAGGTAGGATTGATTTTTCTGTTGTCACAGACCTCCGACCCAGATAAGGTCCCCCACCCCTGCCCTACACGGTTTACAACAATTCTATCTTCCTTGGTAATAACACCAATGGCAGTGGCATGCTCAGACATAACCAACATTGGATGACAAAAGGGCCTGGACCCGCAAGGTGGTTTGGGTAAAATATACCCAAACTGCTTGAGGTAG